AATTTTTAAAAAGGTTCATTTATTTATTTAAAAGGCAGAGCATTAGAGAGATATCCTCTATCTCTGATTCATTCCCTGATGAATTTCCCAAGTAGATGCAAATGCCAGGAGCCAGGAATTTCATTAAGGTCTTCCACACAGGTTGCAAGAGCCCAATCATTTGGGCCATCTTCTACTATCTTTCCTAATAGATTAGCAGGAAACTGGACTGTAAGCAGAGCAGCCAGAACTCCACCCAGTGTTCCAGAATGGAATGCCAGCAACCAAAGCAGTAGCTTAAGTTGCTTTGCCCAAAAACCAGTCCCCTATAGAATAATTTTAAAAACTAAAGGCTCCCTTGGAAGCTGGTGTTGTGAAGCAGCAGGTTAAACTGCCATCTGAAATGCCAGTACCCCATTTGGGTACCATTTGGAGTCCCAGTTGCTTCATTTCCTATCTAGCTCCCTGCTAATGCACCTGTAAAAGCATCAGCGGATGGCCCAAGTGTTTGAGCTCCTGCACCCACATGGGAGACCCAGAAGAAACTCCTGACTCGTGGCTTCAGCCTGGCCCAGCCCTGGCCATTGTAGCCACTTGGGGAGTGCACCAGCAGATGGAGATCTCTGTCCTTCTCTCTCTGTAACTTTTTTTTTCTTTAAGATTTATTTATTTTTTTGAAAGGCAGAGTTACAGAGAGGCAGAGGCAGAGAGAGAAAGAGAGGTCTTTCATCTACTGGTTCACTCTCCAAATGGCTGCAACTGCTAGAGCTGGGCAGACCTGAGGCCAGGAGCCAGGAGCTTCCTACAGGTCTCCCACATGGGTGCATGGATCCAAGCACTTGGGCCATCTTTCACTGCTTTCCGAGAACATAGCAGAGAGCTGGATCAGAAGTGGAGTAGCCAGGACTTGAACCGGCACCCATATGGAATGCCAGCACTATAGGTGGTGGCTTTACTTGCTATACCACAGTTCTGGTCCCAACTCTGCCTTTCAAATAAATAAGTCTTTTTTTTAAAAAGTAAAGGCTTCCTTTAATTAACATCAATATAGAATAAATAATTCCATTGTTAGCTTTACAACTAGATCAAGAAAATTTTAAATAAGATTGTATCAGACAAACTCCTTTTGAAATTAGGTTGAATAGTTTCAGAAACAGAAGCAGTGATGGGGCCGGTGCTGTGCTGTAGTGGGTAAAGACACTGCCTGCAGTTCCAGCATCCCATATGGGCACCGGTTTGAGTCCCAGTTGCTCTACTTCTGATCCAGCTCTCTGCTATGGCCTGGGAAAGCAGTAGAAGATGGCCCAGGTCCTTGGGCCCCTGCACCTATGTGGGAGACCAGGAAGAAGTTCCTGGCTTCTGGCTTCAGATTGGTGCAGCTCCGGCTGTTGTGGCCAGTTGGGGAGTGAACCAGCAGATGGAAGACCTCTCTCTCTCTCTGCCATCACTTCCTATCCAGCTTCCTACTAATATGCCTTGGAGGGCTGACAACGAAGGACGAAGTGTTTGGGCCCTGACATCCATTTGGAAGACCCAGAGAAAGCTTCTGGCTCTTGGCTTGGGCCTGGCCCAGTCTGGGCTATTGCAGCCATCTGGGGAGTAAACTAGCAGATGGAACATCTCCTTCTGTCTCCCTTTCTCTGTCACTGTGTTTTTCAAATGAGTAAACAAATCTTTAGAAGAAAAAGCAGTGATATAAAAAACAATCAGGAACAAGACCCTTAGTCTGTACCAAAGGAAAGACTGCCACCTACTGAAAGACATCATTTTCACAAGGTTTTCCCTCTCGAGTTCAAAGGACTCCCAACTACAATATCTTATACAAGCATACAATTCAGAAGACAAATTTTGTATGATTCCAATTTAATGAGATAGCTAGAATAGTCAAACACCCAAGGACTGGGCAGGAGGAAAACTGGGTGGTATTGTTTTAATGGGCTACTGTTTTGTTTTGCTTTGTTTTTTTAAGATCTATTTTATTTGTTTGAAAGACAGAGAGTTACAGAGAGGTAGAGCCAGAGAGAGAGGTCTTCCATTCGATGGTTTACTCCCCAAATGACCGCAACAGCCAGAGCTGAGCTGATCCGAAGCCAAGAGCTTCTTCCGGATCTCCCACGTGGGCACAGGGGCCCAAGCACTTGGGCCATCTTCTACTGCTTTCCCAGGCCATAGCAGAGAGCTGGATCTGAAGTGGAGTAGCCGGGACATGAAGCAGCGCCCATATGGGATGCTGGCGCTGCAGGCCACGGCTTTAACCTGCTGCGCCACAGTGCCAGCCCCTGGCCTACTGTTTTATGGGCACATTGTTTCAGTAGGAGATGAAAAAGTTAGCTTACTGTGTCACAGCGCTGGCTTCTAAACCTTTTTTTTTTTTTTTTTTTTAAGATTTATTTATTTTTCTGGGCAGAAGCCAGGAGCTTTATCTGGGTCTCCAACAATGGGTGCAGGAGCCCAAGTACTTGGACCATCTTTGCTACAGAGTTGGATTACAGGTGGAGCAGCCAGGACTCTAATTGGCACACATATGAGATGGAGACATCTCGGGCATGGCTTAACCCATTATGCCACAATGTCAGCCCCTATTTAATAACCTTTAAAAACACTTTTTCTATTCATTTTCAGTTCTTTAGAATGACAACGTTGGGGGCTGGTGCTGTTGCATGGTAGGTTAAACCTCCGTCTGCAACACCCGTATCCATATGGGCACCAGTTCAAGTCCTGGCTGCTTCACTTCCAATCTAGCTCCCTGTTGATAGCCTGGAAAAGCAGTGGAAGATGGCCCAAGTACTCGGGGCCCTGTACCTGCATGGGAAACCCAGAAGAAGCTCCTGGCTCCGGGCTTTGGATCGGCCCAGCTCCGGCCATGGCAGCCATTTGGGGAGTGAACCAGCAGATGGAAGACACTCTGTCTCTTCCTCTGTCTGTAACTGCCTCTGAAATAAACAAATCAATCTTTTTTTTTTTTTTTAATTTATTCAAGTCAGAGTTACACAGAAAGAGAAGGAGTGGCAGAGAGAGAGATCTTCCATGCGCTGGTTCACTCCCCAACTGGCCGAAATGGCCAGAGCTATGCCGATCTGAAGCCAGGAACCAGGAGCTTCTTCCAGGTTTCCCATGTGGGTACAGGGGCCCAGGGACTTGGGCCATCTTATATTGCTTTCCCAGACCATAGCAGAGAGCTAGATCAGAAGCAGAGCAGCAGAGATTCAAACCGACATCCATATGGGATGCCAGCACTGCAGGCAGCGGCTTTACTCGCTATGCCACAGTGCTGGCCCCAAACAAATCTTTAAAAAAAAAATGTCAGTGTTATCAACTACAGAAAAAAATGTAAGGCTTCAATATTCAGTGTTTTATAACTGAAAAAAAAATACCGACAACCTAAAAAAATCTATCAGCAGAGGATCAAATAAATTAACTGCAATTCTAACATAGAGAATATTACTTAGAATTTAAAAAGAATGGGTAGGTTCAGATTAATGACATGAAATTCTAAGGCAGTGAAGGTGAGGGAATTGGTCTATTTTATGGGAGAAATATCTTTGTAAATTGACAGAAAGAAAACTGGTGGAAGAACTCAAGAGTGTCAAGTGGTATCTCTGGAGACTGGACTTGCAGTGTGAAAGGACAGGTAAAAGAAAAGGCCATTTCAGTTCCCATTGTACATCCTTTTGAAGTATGGGGGAAAAAAGTCAGAACTATCACATATAATTTCTATATTTAAAGTATCTAAATTTAGTGGTAAACACTAAGTATCTAAATAGATGGACACAATTCCATAAGCATTAAAAAATAAAATAATAAAAAAGCAATTAGAGACTAAAAGCCCTGAACATGCCCAGAAGTTACCTGAACAATGGTGAATCCAGATCTGAGAATAATATCTTGTATCTCTTCCTCTTTGTCAACAACATCTGGTTTGATAATGGCCAGGGTTTTTTCTACATATATCTGAGGTGGAGACATTGATACCTCCATTTTGGCTTTTCGGGATACAATTTAAGAGTTTCTTGACAGGTATCAACTGCAATGACAGCATTTCCCCCATCCCAAATATAGGTGTGATTAAAAACAGCAGTATTAAGAGTTTTTTGTTTGTTTGTTTTGGTTTGTTTTTCATAAAGGTAGAAACTGCCCTGGCTTCCTATAAACAGTGTCTCAACATGATTTCTACTGCATCTACGTGGGGTCATTGGTTTTGTAAGGAGCTTTCATCAGCAGGGAGGACCCAGAGGCTCACATGACCAGCGGTGACCCGAAGGACTCGCCTAGTGCAGACTCCCTGCTGCAGACGGTGGACCAGTGGACATTTCATGGCGCTCCGGGGGCGTGGGGGGAGCAGCTATAGTCAGCTGCTTTAGTGGAGACTCCCCGCCCCACAGGACCCTCTCTGCATACATGCAGGTCCCCAGGTCCTCTGTCTCTCTTTGGGCTGGATTCACACACTCCACGTCTGAACCTCTCACTCACCTCAGCGCTAGCTGCTCCCAGTGCGGCAGCTCGTTGCTAGGATACCTGAAGCCTCGGCCTAGGGACAGTGGCCGCTGAGGGCCAATCCCAGCAACAGGTTTGGAACTTCTCCGGATCGTTTTAATCAAGGACGTCAGCCACCGGCATTTTACTCTCCTTGTGAATCTCAGAGCGCTATTTGTTTCCTAACATTTCCCTCACAATTTTTCTTATGCAACTCTCCTGCCAATTAGACACTACCGTCCACACAGACCTGTGGCAAGCACCTTCTTGTTCTACCAGATCATGCTGTTCTCTCTATACCCAGTTTCTTTAAAATTAAAAAGCAATCTTTGTTTGTGAAATATTTATTTATAAAGCAGTAATAAAATGTTTAATTACCTCTAAATTGGGCCTATGGAACAAAGATGTGGGGTAACATTTATGACATAAATCCAAATCTCAACCCTCCTCCCTTTGTTTTAATATTATATCCACAGGCACTGGTGCCTCCTTTTACTAGAAAAGACAACAGAGAAGTGGTAAACAAAGTGTTGGGATTTCTCTGGGCCAGAGTTTCAGGAAGAGGTCCAAACTTGAGAAAAAACGTCAGAGTAGCAGCTCCAGGTCAACCAAATACGTTTTCATCACCCACTGGATTGGTTGGTTCTCACTCCAGACTACTTAAGTCTCTCCTTTTGTCTAACCAAATACTCAGCACCTGCAGGGTCAAGGCACAAATAGTAAGCTATGAACTTAAAAGCTAGATGATTCAACATAATTTTCCCCCTTATTTGGCAAATAGATGCAATTACACTTTTTTTCTTTAAAGTATAATGCTGCCCAGAAAAGAAACCCCCAAATGTTTCTTTAAAGCTACTAAGTCTTTTCCCCCAAAGATAGAAACCTGTGATGTGATTAATAGCAACAGTTGTAGTAACCAACAAATGGACAGTGGCTCCAGCCTTTGGTTTGCTGTTCAGTCTTCCCACTTGAGGCTCTAGAAGCCGGAGTTCCCATCACTCGCCTATCCCCAGCTTTCTTGAGAGGTCTTCACTGTTGCCTGTGTTGCTAGACTACATCACTTCACCTCACTCTCTACTAAAAATAGAACCTACTGAGGTTCGGGGTCCAAAGCAGTAGACACAACACCAGGTGTTGAATCACTTCTAAATATAAACTTTGGAAACACAGCACCACTTCAACATCACCTTTACTGTCACAGACTTTCCAAAATCAGATCGTAGTGGCTACACCCCTTTTACTTGCAGCACTCTACAAACAGTACCTGAATCTGCTCCAAGACTTCTCGCTGCATCTCCACAGCCATATGGTACACATGATGATCAGAATCATTGTACATCACAGCATTCTGGAACATCAGCATCAGGTCCCGCTGGAACTGAGCCAAGGTGCGAATTCGTCCCTTAGACAGATTTCTCTTCAGGCTAGTTAAGTCCATGGGTCTGTAAATTGGCCAAGAGAAAGAGAGGAGATCAAACATTAGTATGGAAGATGTGGTGACCTACCATGCTCTTTTGGAGAACTGGTTCCTAATAAAAATAAATAGCAAGGTAGGCTGGTGCCGCGGCTCACTAGGCTAATCTTCCGCCTTGCGGCGCCGGCACACCGGATTCTAGTCCCGGTCGGGGCGCCGGGTTCTGTCCCGGTTGCCCCTCTTCCAGGCCAGCTCTCTGCTGTGGCCAGGGAGTGCAGTGGAGGATGGCCCAAGTCCTTGGGCCCTGCACCCGCATGGGAGACCAGGTAAGTACCTGGCTCCCAGCTTTGGATCGGCGCGGTGCGCTGGCTACAGCGGCCATTGGAGGGTGAACCAACAGCAAAAAGAAGACCTTTCTCTCTGTCTCTCTCTCTCTCACTGTCTGTAATTCTACCTGTCACATAAAAAAAATAAATAAATAAAAATAAATAGCAAAGTAACAACTCCCATCAGATAAAAGCAACTGCGATTAACATTTGACTGTTCATAGTAGGCTAACTTCTACTGTAGGCACTTTCTGTAGTAACTTAGTCCTCTGAATCCATAAGGTAGGTATCATTATTATTTCCACTTAACCTATAGAGAGGTTAAGTACTTGCCTAATGACACACACCCTGGATTCAAATTCAAATCAACCTGACTACAGAACCCCATGGTCCAAGCCACTATTCTTACTGTGGGTGGTTGGCCAGGCATCAGAGCTGTAAGGGGACCCGATTATCAATCAGTTTGCCACACAATAGTTTTTGGCTGTTGGCAATGTAGTCATATAATAGGTATTTAATCTACTTCTCTTGTTGCATAAATCAAAAGTGAATTTTTTTCCCCTTTCACTAAGATGAAAAGAACGGAGATCAAATGAATAGTCACACAAATAAATATTTACAAAGAATAGATATATACGAGAAAGCACAGCAGTGTAGAAAGGGCTGAACTGGAAGAATCTATAGCTTGGGGCAGGACTGTGGCGCATTAGGTTAATCCTCTGCCTGCGGCATCGGCATCCCATATGGGCCCCCGGGTTCTAGTCCCAGTTGCTCCTCTTCCAGTCCAGCTCTATGCTGTGGCCTGGGATAGCAGTGGAAGACGGCCCAAGTGTTTGGGCCCCTGCACCCACATGGGAGGCCAGGAAGAAACTCCTGGCTCCTGGCTTCGGATTGGCGCAGCTCTGGCCATTGCGGCCATTTGGGGAGTGAACCAACGGAGGGAAGACCTTTCTCTCTGTCTCTCCCTTTAACTGTCTGTAAACTCTACCTCTCAAATAAATAAATCTAAAAAAAAAAAAAAAAAGAATCTATAGCTTAACTCTGCTATTAACTGTTGGTTGTTCATAGGTAAGTCACAACTATCTTTGGACATTAATTTCCCCATTTATATTACAAAGGAGTTTGTCTCTGCTATAGTTTCAGTGATGATGTTCTCTCTGAAATTCACGTTGAAACATATTCCCCAATGCAACAGTTCTGAGTTATTGGTCTTGGAGAGGTGATTAAGTCATTAGGATGCCACCCTCATGAATAGGATTAGTACCCTTATAAAGGAGGCTGAGATTGATGGAAGCCCTCTTGCTTGTCTATTCTTCCTACCATGTAAGAACACAGCATCTGCCCCCTCAAGAGGATGTAGCAATAGGGCACCATCTTGGAAGCAGAGAACAGCCCTTTAGAGACCAGTCCTGCAGGCAACTTGATCCTGAACTGCTCAGCATCCAGAACCATGAGAATAAATTTCTGTGGTTTATAAATTACCCAGTCTGTGGCATTTTATTTTAGCAGTACAAATGGACTAAGACAATCTCTAAAGATTCTTTCCTGATTACCATACTAACAGCATTTATGACACAATTTTAGATGAAGTATACTACAAAAATCCAAAATATTACAATTAACCAAGGTTTGTAACCAAGGTTTGGGTTAACATCTTTGCTTCAGCACACCTATAACCAACTACCTGAATAAGTATAGGATTTCTTTTAAAGTTTCATTCCAAAGAACAGGGTCAAAACTAACAAAGACTAATATATAATGAACGGACTGTAGTACTTAAAAGTCAATACTTCAAATAAATAACAAATAGCCTACATGATCCTTTTGTTCCCTGTATTCTTTCCCTAAAGAATATACTGAGCTCACCATAACTTACAAACTTCTTTGGTTGTAAAATGTATCATGAGTTTACATGTAAAAATAAATAATCTAATGGATGGGAAATAAAAATCGAAGTCAGATCTAAAAGCTACCAACCTTTTTTTTAACCCCTTTTCCACTGACCTTTTTACCACATCCTTGTATCCTGGGGCCTGCCTTTCTGACACGGGCTTCAGAAATGGACTGCTGAATCTGTTAATGGACAAACCCAAAGAGGATGAAGTAATGCTGGAAAATCATTCTAAATGAAAAGAGTGAACAAAAACACTTATAAACTATGGAGTAGAACTTAGTTCTTGTTAGACCTGTCTTAGGGGAATGCCAACTGTGAGTGCCATTAGGAAGAAATCTATTAGTTTTCTCTTGCCAAATAGGAAGAGTTGAACAAAAAACTATGAAATATTTACTACTATACTGATTAATGGTTCAAAAATTTATTCAAGGGGTTGGTGCTGTGGCGCAGTGGGTTAACGCCCTGGCCTGAAGTGCCAGCATCCCATATGGGCACCGGTTCAAGATCTGGCTGCTCCACTTTCTTTTTTTTTTTTTTTTTTTTTTTTTTTTTTTTAACACCTTTTTTTTTTTTTTTTTTTTTTAATTTATTTATTTATTTTTTTTTTTATTTTTGACAGGCAGAGTGGACAGTGAGAGAGAGAGACAGAGAGAGAAAGGTCTTCCATTGCCGTTGGTTCACCCTCCAATGGCCGCCGCTGCAGCCGGTGCAACCGCGCTGATTCCGATGACAGGAGGCAGGATCCCAGGTCTTTTTCTCTGTTCTCCCATGGGGGTGCAGGGCCCAAGCACCTGGGCCATCCTCCCACTGCACTCCCTGGCCATAGCAGAGAGCTGGCCTGGAAGAGGGGCAACCGGGACAGAATCCGGCGCCCCGACCGGGACTAGAACCCGGTGTGCCGGCGCCGCAAGGTGGAGGATTAGCCTATTGAGCCACGGCGCCGGCTCTGGCTGCTCCACTTTCAATGCAGCTCTCTGTTATGGCCTGGAAAAGTAGAAGATGGCCCAAGTTGTTGGGCCCCTGCACCCACGGGGAAGACCCAGAAGAAGCTCCTGGCTCCTGGCTTCGGATAAGTGGAACTCTGGCTGTTGCAGCCAATTGGGGAGTGAATCAACGGATGGAAGACTTTCTCTCTCTCTCTCTCTCTCTCTCTCTCTGCCTCTCCCTCTCTGTGTAACTCTGATTTACAAATAAATAACCTTTTAAAAAATAAATTTATTCAAAGTCCCTGTGTTCTCTGTGGAAAAAAAGATAATCCACCATATTGAAAAGGAGGTACACCTAGTCTAAATACAAATGTTATCATCTCATTGGAACGAATTTGTAAATGCAATTTAAATGTCACAGCAAGTATGTTTTTTAAGATTTATTTATTTATTTGAAAGTCAGATTGAGAAAGAGAGAAAGATTTTCTATCTGCTGGTTCACTCTCAGATGGCCACAAAAGCTTTGTGTAGGCCAGGCGGAAACCAGGAACCAAGAACTCCATCCAGGTCCTCCCATATGGGTAGCAATTGCCCAAGTACTTGGACCATCTTTTGCTGCTTTCTCAAGTGCATTAGCAGGAGGCTGGGTAATGAGCAGAGTAGCCAGGTCTCAAACTGGCACTCTGATACGGGATGCTGGCATTGCAAGCTTAACCCACTGTGCCAAAATATCAGCCCCAGCAACTATTTTTTGTACAGACTAGTGAAAGCAGATATGTGTACTTGTGAATAGGCCAGGTTTAGATATAAGATCTGACTCCCAACTACGGATTGTGTGATGGGTGAATGGTCTCCTTAATACATGATACTGCTTTAGTTCTAGACATAATCTTATTATCATTTTGGGGACCTACCTGTGACTAGCAATCATCTTCCAAACTGGCATAACAGTCTTCTTAAACAGCAAATGATCCTGAAGAGGGTCACCCTGGCTTAGATCAGTCCTATGGCATAAAACATGACAGAGACAGTAACTTCACAAATGGTATTCTGTCTCCCCAGGTGGATAAAGAGGTTTTCTCAAGACATCTGCTTCCAATTAACATCTGAAGGAATATAACACCACAGGAATAAAAATATACTTAATGCTTCTTAATGGACTCCAAACTCTATATTTCTGTTTATTCCCTTACTTATCACTATTACCCAATGAAGTAGTTGCCTTCTTACAAAGTGTACTACAAATCTACAATTGCCTGTGGTGCCTTTTCCACTCACTCTGATTTGCTTTTTAGCACTTGTGATTTTAAAGAACTGGTCAATGAAAGTAGTCTGTTCACTGAAGTTTACCAAGTGCCTTTTACAGTTCCTAATACATAGCAGGTGCTCAATAAATATCTAATAAATTAATCTGATCCTGTTTTTATGCAGAAACATGCTACAATGATAAGTATCTTGCCCATGTTTCCAGGGAAGGAAATATTTTGTTTACATACCAAAGAATTCTCTTATGTTTCATCTGAATGCCGTACAACTTTTTTTCTTTTTCGCTCTCTTCCACATAGTAACCTTTAAGATACCTAAGAAAATTTCATTTTTTCTCATGATCCCTCTCCTTGTTTCCCCTCTCCTATTCTTCCTCCCTCCCTCCCTTCCGTCTTTCCTTCTTTGAAGGAATTGTCTTATTTACTTAGCTTTTCTTTAGAGATGCAACTGTCAAATGTTTTATTTTTAATGAAAATGTCTAATGAATTTTAAATGAATTCATATTTATAATGAATTAATGAATTTTATAATGAATATTATATTTCCAGTTGGAAAACTGTCTAATTACTGGATAGTTAAACATCATGTTACACTGCTTACTTTATACCCTTAAATAGGTTCTCTTCACATCCTCATTTTGTATAATGGAACCAGATGGTGCTTACCCATCTTTAAAAATATCTATTTATTTATTTATTTATTTGAGAGAGAGAGAGAGAGTGCATGCGCTGAGCGCGAGCGTGAGCAAGCCATTTTTCCATGTGCTGGTTCACTCCTCAAATAACCACAATGGCCTGGGCTGGACCAAACTTAAGCCAGGAGCCTGGAACTTCATCCAGGTCTCCCATGTGGGTGACAAATGTACAAGTACTCAGGTCATCTTCTGCTGTTTTCCCAGGCACATAAGCAAGAAGCTGGATCAGAAGAATACACAGGAGTTGAACTGGCACTCTAATATGGGATCCCACCATTGCAAGCAGCAGCTTAAACCACTATGATACAACATCAGCCCCTGTCCACCAATTTGAGAACCATAACCTTCATTATTTTTCTTCAATCGGAGCACTTCCACGTAATTATTCATCTTCATTATATCACACTTCACCTATATCTAAATCACATACCACAAAAATCATACAGGTTTCACTATGGTCTATAGTCAACATACCCTTCAATGCTGTTATAGGATCCTACCAGAACAACATTTAAAGCCCCCAAAACACTTTTTTCTTTGTTTCTGGTCACTCAACTGTAATGAACAATAATTTCTTGGTACTGGTGATATAACTTCATTCATACATCAGCGTTAACAGATACTTAATGTTTCCAGTGTATGAAAGATATTATGCTAGTTTCTGTAACCTTAAAATCAACCAACTTTGTTACATTTTATGAAACAATATCTTGCACATTTTTATATCCATCTGCTGGGGAATAAATGTCAAGCAACTACAAGTAAAACTGGGAGAGCAGAAAGGTGGTGCTCCAAAGGCTCTAATTCTCTACTCCTCGGAGTTAAAATAGTTTAAGAGAAAAGCCAGAGAAGAGGTGCCTAGAGAATGTCTATGTTTTAAAGTAGTTTTAGGGGCAAGTGTTGTAGCACAGTGGGTTAAGCTGCCTCTGGAGACTCACACCCCTTATCAGAGTGCTGATTCAAGTCTTGGCTTCTCTGCTTCTGATCTAGCTTCCTGGTAATGCACTTGAGAAAGCAGCAGAGGATGGCCCAATTACTTCGGTTACTGCCACCCATGTGGGAAACCTGGTGTTTTCAGCTCCTGGCTTCAATCTGGCTCAGACTTGGCTGTTACAGGGATTTAAGGGGTGAACCAGTAGATAGAAGATCTCTCTTTCCCTCCCTCTCACTCTCTCTCCCTTATCACTCTACCTTTCAAATAAACAAACAAGTAAATAAATAAATTTTCAAAGTGCAAAAAAAAAAAAAAAAAAACCTTAAGAACCCAGCTCTCTATCTCCCCTTAAGGTATCTGGTCAAGTAGACTTAATAATTGGTATCTATTATTTTCTAATAAAGATCTCATGTTTAACATAAATTCCAAGATAAGCTGATAAGAAGTGTGCCATCTAACAGACTAAACTGTTAGGAGATAAAATGTCTCAGATGTCAAAATTTTCTATTCTTGGCAAAGTCACACAATGTCATGGAAGTATTCTCTTGCTCTTACTTGCATAAGGAGTTATAAAAAAGCAAAAGATGTCATTCTTCAACAAGCTAGGTTTCAAGCTATAGTTAGGTACACAAATTTGAAATGTTTTAAAAATATATGTATGTTTCAGCTGTATACACAAAATTACACTAGCACAATTATCGGTTTTGCCTTCCCACACTAATGTGGATGGATTTGGGATGTAGTAAAGAAAAAAATAGTTCAGACTATATTCTCTCATTAGATAAAGACCAGAAAAATAACTACTTATTTATTGCCATAATAAAAATAACTTTCATATTCAGCTTTAAAAATTCATTCAATTCACTAAAAAAAAATCAATATTCTAAAATGGGCTCTTTAGCCCCCATAATTATCTATAAAAATGAGACAATTATATAACAATTTTCCAAGATATGTGAAAAAGAAACCAAAGAAATCATAAACTTCAAAATAATTTTTATTTTAAGTTCAGAGGAGTTATTTTAGTACTTTTAAAAGAGGTATAGTTTGGGGGCCGGAGCTGTGGCACAGTAGGTTAATCCTCCGCCTTCAGTGCCGGCATCCCATGCAGGTGTTGGTTCGAGTCCCAGCAGCTCCTCTTCTGATCCAGCTCTCTGTTATGGCCTGGGAAAGCAGTAGAAGATGGCCCAAGTGCTTGGGCCCCTACACCCGCGTGGGAGACCTGGAGAACACTCCTGGGTCCTGGTTTTGGATTGGCTCAGCTCCAGCCATTTGGAGAGTGAACCAGTGGGATGGAAGACCTCTCTCTCTCTCTCTCTCTCTCTCTCTCTCTCTCTCTGTCTCTCCCTCTCAACGTCTGTAACTCTACTTCTCAAATAAATAAATATTAAAAGAGGTATAATGGGGCCGGCACTATGGCATAGCAGATAAAACCGCCACCTCCAGAGCCAACATCCCATATGGGCACCAGTTTGAATCACCGCTACTCCACTTCCAATCCAGCTCTATGCTATGGCCTGGGAAAGCAGTAGAAGATGGCCCAAAACTCATGACTAGAGCCTAGGGAGATTACTGATGCCATAAACAAGAGTGTCAAATTGTTAAGTCAACAACAGGAGTCACTGTGTACTTACTTCCCATGTGGGATCTGTCCTTAATGTGTTGTCCAATGTGAAGTAATGCTATAACTAGTACTGAAACAGTATTTTACACTGTGTTTCTGTGTGGGTGCAAACTGATGAAATCTTTACTTAATATATACTAAATCGATCTTCTGTATATAAAGATAATTGAAAATGAATCTTGATGTGAATGGAATGGGAGAGGGAGTGGGAGATGGGAGGGGTGCGAGTGGGAGGGAAATTATGGGGGGGGGCATTGTAATCCATAAACTGTACTTTGGAAATTTATATTTACTAAATAAATGTTTAAAAAAAAAAGAAGAAGATGGCCCAAGTGCTTGGGCCACTGCACCCACACGGGAGACCCGGAAGAAGCACCCGGCTCCTGGCTTTGGATAGGCAAAGGTCTGGCTGGTGTGGCCATTTGGGGAGTTAACCAGCAGGTGGAAAACCTCTCTCTCTGCCTCTCCTTCTCTCTCAATGTAATTCTTTCAAATAAATAAATAAATCTTTTTTTTTAAAAAAAAGGTATAGTTTGTATGATATTAGACTTTAAGAGTTAATGACTCAGTAATGTTTCCTGAATAAATGAAGCTAGTAATTAGGATTATTTATGGGACATATTTCTTTTTTAAAAATTAATTTCAGAGGCAGAGAGACAGCGAGAGACAGAGAGCAAGCTCCCATCTGCTGGTTCACTCCCCAAATGTCCACATGGGCCCTCAGAGCTGGAGCCAGGGACTCAATCTAGGTCTCCCACATGGGTGGTAAGAATCCTACTATTTGAGCCATCATTGTTGCCTCCTAGTCTCTACTTTAGAAGGAAGCTGGAGTCAAGAGCCAGAGCTGAGTATGGAAATCTAAACACCTGGCCCATATGAAAAAGAATCTTAATGTTGATCAAATACTTGTTTGGGGCTTGTGTTGTGGCACAGCAGGTTAAGCTCATATGTACAACACTGGTATTCCATATCAGAATGCTGTTTCTAGTACCAGTTGCTCCACTTCCAATCCAGCTCTCTTCTAATGTGCCTGGGAAACCAGTGGAGGATGGCCCAAGTACTTTGGCCCCTGCCACCAATGTGGGAGACCCAGATGGAGTACCAGGCTCCTGGCTTCAACCTGGCTCAGCTCTGGCCATTGTAGACTTTTGGGAAGTGAACCAACAGATGGAAGATCTCCCTCTCTCTTTCTCTGTCACTCTGTCTTTCAAGTAAATCTTTAATTTTTTTTTAAAGAAACAACTTTAACAGCAAAGCATACAGGATTCTAGTTATGTAATGTTAAAATTGTATTTAATTCTATGGGCCTGGCATTGTGGTGTAGTAGGTTAAGCTGCCACCTGTGACACCAGCATCCCATATGAGCACTGGTTTGAGTCCCAGCTGATCCAGCTTTCTGCTAATGAGCCTGGAAAAGCAATGGAAGATGGTTGATGTGTTTTGTTCCCTGCCACTCGTGTGGGAGACCTGGAGTCATTTGGGGAATAAATCAACAGATGGTAGCCCTTCTCTGTGTCTGTCTCTCCCTGTCTCTGTAATTTCGCCTTTCAAATAAAAAAAAAATCTTAAAAAAACTTTCAAATTTCATGGTAAATTCAAATAGGCATAAATAGAAGTAAAATATAAATCTTCACAAACTTGTATAAAAATCTATACTTACAGCTTTGAGGAGGTTGCTCGGCTGAAAAGGATATCCACCAGGGGAGTCTCTTGAATGCTGAAGCCATCATCACACTCACCTGAAGGGGACTCTTCTGTCTCTGACACATACCCTTCACCCTGGTCCTCCTCTTTGGATTCTTGTTGAGCCTGCTCCTAGGAATCCAAGCAAACGCAGGCAATTTTAGAAACAGATCGACGATAATTTACTTGCACAGAGTAAATGAAGGCCAATGTTAACATAAGAAGAGGCCAATTATATGAAACTGTAATAGAAACTAGATAAAGTTGATTTTAATAGACCCAAGTCAAT